AATGTTTACATGAAGGATAATTTTTATAGTTTTGTTTTTATAGTAAAATAAACTAATACATAAGGAAAGCCACAGCACATAATACTATTTCATAATACTATTTTTTTGCTATTTATTTTCCACATTCTTTTATTATTTCGAATCAACAAGGGTTTGGAGTTGACTGTCCGAGTTTCTTCACCAAGTTGTTTCCAAACAAACTCCAAAGATGCGGTGAATTTATATCCTTCATGTAAACACTTTGTTGGTAGACAGTATGGACAGTTTAAACGACGAAAGATAGCGAACTAAGCCTAACATTTGATACAAAAATAACTAAAACTACATATTTTATTTTCAAGATTCCATTTAATTTGTCCATTTCGGATTCAAAACCAGAGGTCTTTTGGTATATAATATTCTCCAACTTATGGAATACAAGCTATCTTTTTAAAATATTATACTCCGTATTAATACAGCGTTTCAGATACTTTTTTATCTCTCATCATCCAGCTGAACTGACGAGTGTCGTATTGAACGAAATGCCATTTAAACAGTAAGTTATAGGAGACAAAATATATGAAATACTATTTTTACAGACCTCTGACTTTCACACCGAAATGGATAAACCAAGAGAATCTTGAAAAAAAAACATTTACGGTTTAAGAGATTTTTATTTTATCCTAAATACGTTGAAATATTTTAACAATAAAACTGTAAATAATACGTTCTAATGTTTTTCAAAACAAAAACTGTGCTGTTAGCATTGTTTAAACTGGTTCTCAAAATGTCCTGGGCGTTAAAAACCTGGGTGTATTTATTAATTCTTTGTGTGTTTTAAATATTGGAAACAAAATATTATTTACTAGAAACAATTTTTTTTTTAATTTTCTAGGAAGACATGGAGACAGGAAAACGCCAAGTGAGTTATCCATTAAGTTATTTTAATCTCGTGAACTTTAACACCATATTAGAATGATGTCACCTTTGACGTGTTACGCAACTACCTAGTACATAGGTTAACAAATCTAAAACTTTGGATTAAATGGACATTGTAAAAAACGAAATTAACAATAAAATATGCACAGTTTTCGTCGAATGAGATTCTGCATTATTGGTTTTTGTATTTAATTTGAGAATTTGAACATATTTAAAACAAACAATATAATGTTAAATTATTGTGATCCAGCTTTTTGTTGAACAGTACATTTACGTCACCTTTGAAGCTATTATATGATGAGTTAGTAACGTAAAGGTGTAGTGTATAGCACAATATGGTGATATTTGATATAACAGTAGTGATATAGTAACACATTGTAATATTAAAATAGTGATATAGTAACACAGTGTATTATTACAATATTGAAATGGTAACACAGTGTAATATTACAATATTAATATAGTAATACAGTGTAATATTAAAATAGTGATATAATAACACAGTGTAATATTATAATATTGAAATGGTAACACAGTGTAATATTACAATATTAATATAGTAATACAGTGTAATATTTCTATAGTGATATATCAATATAATGTAATTGTTACATATACACGAATATTTATGTACAATGCAAGTGTTATGATTTAGATAGCCTTATTATAGCATTTTCTCGTTGTTTTAATTGAGTATTATTGCATCACAATATCTCGTACATGTACAAGTTCTAAGCCTCGGTCAGGATATAAATACGCGTACAAAATGTAGTTCAAGATAAGTTAGACAAAGTTAGTTAGATAGTTAGACTGCGTGATTGTGAGTTTAACCATAGAGAGCGTATAGTGATGATTTCTAAAGTGAACTTATCACCAATTGTATTTTTATAAC